CCCGCGGCTTCGTCGTTCCCACTTTCTTCACCCCCCCAGGAGTTCCGGAGTGCAGTCAAAGCCAGGTTGGGCACGAGTCGCGGCGGGATGCAGAACTCGGGGATGCGGTCCGGGGTGAGCACGTTTGCGCACGCGGCGGGCGTGCGGGCCCTGGCTCGGCGAGCACGACCCGGGAGAAGCCCGTCCCCGCCCCGTAGGAGGCGCTCGGGAGCCGAGCGGAGCCGCTCCAGGCACCACATCTGACGGCAGGTGCCGGATCTGGACGACCCTGTGTTGGAGCTGCTCTGCCTGGAATGCACAAACGCACACCGATCGTCAGCGCGAGCCTCTCAAGGCGCGGTAATGCCTGACCCTTTTCTTCTATTTTCGGGGTGTTTCCTCCTGCTTCCGCAGCGACGAGCAAATTGCACCTCACGCCCCTATTGCAAACTGTTCTTCAGTGATTGAAAAACAATCGTTTTTTCTTGTCCTATCTCAACTCCGTCGATATGTACGCTTCGGGGCTCGTTGCTTTAATCTCCATCCGCCCCCGCTGGCCTAAGGCGCAGATTCTCAAAATGTTGGCTTCTAACTTTGGTCGCTTTGTCTTCAGTGCCAACAGGCGCTTTGTTTTGTGCAATCGTTTCCTGAATCCTTGGACTATTGCACTGTAGTCCTCAGCGAGAATTAAAGTAATTATTATCCCCTACAGGAAACTGTGACTTGTTCTCCCCTTTTAAACGCAAAGAGCTTCTGACGAACCCCCCAGGGTATTAAGCAGGCTGATGGTACCTGGGATCCGGCGTCAGATGGGTCTCCGCACCGTTCCTCCTGGGGCACCAACCGGGAGAGGCGCGTAGCCTTTGGGAAACCCAAAGCGCGCGCGGCGGCGTTCAGTACCGGTGTTCAAGGACCGCTGTCCTGAGCCTTTATACCCGCTGCGGGGAGCGCCTGCCAACGCGCCCGCCCGAGCCGCGCTGCGTGGTAACCTGAAGCCAGGCCCTCCCTTTTCCCTCTGCCACGTGGCCGCACTGCTGAGCAAGTTCTGGAGACCCAGTGCTCTCTCTCTCTCGCCCCAAGTGGAGATATTCTCCTCGGAAACCCTGAACAAGTTTGTTTCCTCACGTGCAAAAGAGGGTTAAGTCTTGACTATATCGCAGAGTCATTGTGAAGTTTGACGGACACGATGACTGTGAATGCATAGAGATGCTCTTCTTTCCACCAGTAAAAGGAAGAGTTCTTACCTAATACACTTCCCTAAATACAGCCCCTCCGTTGTCCAGCTTTCACAACTCTTTACTTGCTTTGCGGTTTTCAGTTCTGATTTTAGATGTTCTTTCTTTGTTGTTTTAAAACCCCTCTGGGTTA